CGCCTGCATGTCGCCGGAAATGGCGACACACTATGCGAATTCGGCCACCGTGACCAGAGAGTTACAACGGCTCTCCCCAGCCTCCCTCTCCGGCGGCAGCACGGTCTCCCGAGACTGCGAAAAGACTTACGCTCTACCCTGTCATGCTGGCAGTTCGTCGCGACAATATTAGGGAATCCATCGTCGTCCTTCGTCTCGATGGTACCTCTGTGCTGTTTTGTGCCTTTGTGAGTACGTGTGCCGCTAATGTTCCTTCTGTTCGGATCTCAGTCTATCAATTATTTTCTGCCGAATACGTATAGGTGAAAAAGAAGAGGAAGGATCGAGCACCGGAACATTTTTTATTATCCTGGGCTTTTGGACTCGTGCAGGAGTCTATCGTCCGAGGCAGTAGCAGCAACTGAAAAAACGACAGTTATAGGGCATGTAGGCTAATCATCGACCGACGGCGCAAGACTGGAGGTGACTACGCAGGGCTCTGTACGCCGGCGCCAGATCGATAAATCGATTGACCGAGTTCTCACTCGAAGCCCAGACTTCAATCAATTCTCGGCCTGTTTTGTTTCCGGCGTGGGCGACTGTTTTGGTGGCTGCGAGGTTAAACTCGTGACCCATTTTGTTCGTAGGTGATGGCGGCCACTTGTGATAATGCGTCGCCTCGTTGCATAGCTAGCTTATGTTCGTGTATGCGCGATCCGAGCATGCGTTCAGTCTGGCCTGTGTAGTTACAAAGACAATTTTGTCACTCGATGCGATACACTAATCAAGATTGCTCTTCAGCTTTGACCGGTCTGTAATCTTCATGACCCTATTGCGCATGGTGGATTTGGGGCGGTGTGCAATTCCAACACCCGGCTCCGCAGCAATGCGCTCGGTCGCTTCTGAAACGCCTTTGATGTATGGCAGAGAATGTCATATCGTCGGTGGTGTTGATGTTCGAGTCCTCTGTGGGCGACCGCGTAGGTAACGACTTGTGAATGCCCTCGGATAGCCATTTTGCGCCAACTGGTAGCGGAGATAACGCGTCTCACGTGCACTGTCCTCCGGTTTGCTGCACTGACTTTGGATCCGTTTGAAGAGCGTTTTCATACAGCTTCGTTTTTTAGCCACCGGATGGTTGCTGTGGAAACTAAGAAGCTGTGTGGTGTTCGTTGCCTTCGTATAAACCGTCGTTTCAAGTTCACCGTTAGGGTTTCGTCTGAGAAGGACATCCAGGAAGGGCAACTGCTGTTCCTGTTCTTCTTTCCTCGTGAATTTTATATCGGAGAAGACTGCGTTGAGCAGGCTGTGGAAATGTAGCAGCGTGTCCTTTTTTATGATGACGAACGCGTCGTCTACGTAACGGCTCCAAAGTGGACTCCTGCATGAGTTCCGATGCGCAACCCTTTATTCTTCTTCCTCCTCCTCCTCCTCCTCCTCCTCCTCTTCTTCTTCTCTTCTCCTTCTCCTCCTTTTTCTTCTTCTTCACTTATGCATTCATCTGGAACTGGAAATTTCGCCATCACTCGCCGAATATGTATCAGGTGTGACTACCTAAAGTCCTCATGTCATGCACACTGTGCATACCGTAAGCAGATTAGACCCTTAGATGGACATTTTATCAGATGCAAAGACAGGAATTTGATGAACTGTGTGGCGCGCTAGCCTTGGCGACCCATATGACGCAAGAGCCCTCAGCCACTGCACTGCTCTATCTTGTTTGCAGTCAGCGTTAGCCATTCCCTCCACTGAAGGCGGAGGGTGAAAGTGACGCCGAGCATGTGCAGCCTTTCTGCAATGAGTCGCGCGCGCCTTGAAACTATCGCAACACGTTAGAAGCCATTGTCTGGGAGATCGCCATCTGATTGGATACTGGCTGGTTGTAGCCTTGTCAGCCACTGCGCCTGAGCCCACTTCCAGTCGTTCTGACTGCGTCTCGCTACCGGGCCCACCTGGGTGGGGGAGGAGAGAGTGCGGCAGATGCTGCGCAAGTTCGCTATAAACTGACTCTCCTGCAAGTCACCGTCTTACGCCCAGCACGTCCTGGGTGAACATCCTCGTTCGCGCGGGTTAAACCGTCAGGTAAGATTTTAACTTTCCCTCCCCATTTTCACCCTGTAACGACTCACCGCCGTGATAATAACCCACCGAGGGTAGTCTTGCTCGCTTCGGTTGGTGTGCCAGCACGTGCGTGGCGCGCTCAAATTGACCTGAATGTTTGTTCGGTCGCTGCATCCCTGCCCTTCTCCAGCCACGGTGACCTTTTTTGCTGTGGAAACATGATAGGAGGGGGGGGAGAGAAAGTGGGAACAATGCTGCGCAACTAACCACTGCCCCTTTCTCCCCCCCCCCCCTTCGCAGGCAATCGCGATCTGCATTGAGGACCGTGGATATTATCGGTTCGCAAACCCACATTTCCAAACCTGACAGTTTTGAGTGCCCAGAGCGGCTGCAAAAAGTACGGATATGTTCATGTTCCCCCTTTTTTACGATGTAACTTTGGTATACTAGCTTAAAGTGCGCAGTTTAGTTGCACCGCCGCTGAGCACCACCTTTACTATCCTCTTCACTCCGGCTGGCCGAACAATCACGTGTCCGAAATGGCACATTTTCTCTCCGCCAGCCCAGTTAGTCCAAGCTGGTTAATTAAAGACTCCCGGGATGGCCAGACGCGTAGTGTCTACTTAAGACACTCTGCCAAGTTCCTCCTCACCAATTATTTCACTCCTTTTGCCCAGAATATCCTATTCTTGTGAATCAGCACACTCCAACGATCTCCGATTGTCTGGGCCGGTCTGCTTTCATCGCTGCGTCTCTGTTGTTTCTGTTGTAGGACTAGCAGTCATCGTCTCGGATGACCGGAGAAAGGATGGACGTTGTGGTAGGTGGGGTTGGTCGCGGAGTAGTAAATGGCGGGTCGCGTAATTTGTTGTAAGCAGCGTCTGTAGACCCGGGTTTTATAATCTCTGCGTCTGATTCTTCGCCTACTTTACTTCATGCTGGGATCGCAGATTTATGCAAGCTATAGCCCGATCACGTTTAGTTGGTGGAGATCTGTGAGCTGGTGGCGGCGGCGGCAGGAGTTTGACGCTGGCGCATCTCCTACAGTTGGGCCCACTGTCGCATCTAGGGGCTGCAGCCACCCATTCCTCCACCATGTCAGACTCGTGCTTGTTACTGCTGCCCTTAACCACCGCTATTGCAGCCCGTCTGACATTTTAGTTGGTTTGTTTTGATCATTCAACTTTCGTGGTTTTCAAGATCACCTGTCTTCTGATGCAGTCTTTGTGCCTTTCCTTGTTTGAACAGTGCATCCTCCGTCTCCTCCCCTTGTCGTGCATATTCCCGTCGAGCTTTTGCAGTTCTTTCTGTTCCCTTCCTCTCCACCGTCTTCCTCTTGGCGGTCAGACTCCAACATCCAGATCCTGCCGACCGATGCTGCTGTTGTTATCGCGTGCTATTTCTGGGATCCAGAAGTCACTTCCCCGAACACGTTGATCCTCGTCTAACACATAGTTCCTGGCGCCATGCGTCCGTCCCCCCGGTCCCCAGTTCCCCACCCTAAATCAGACCTGACCAGATCCATGTGGAAACATTAATGTACCAGCCCTCTGGTTCTCAGACGCCTTGTATATTGTTTTTGAGCGCTGTATATGTGCAGAACTCCCTCGCCCCGCCGTCGTCTGCAGTAGCGCCTCACTTTCTACCCCTCTCCACCAATTTGTCTTCAAGAGCCCCAACTGCAGTGTATGTAACTTTTTTGCCTCGGAACGTCGACTCCGTATTGATTTTTTTTCTGTTCTGCGCTCCTTTGTTGGAAGCTTTGCTTCTTGTGTGTGTAAATGCTCTTTCTTTCTCTCTCCCTATATATATGTATGTATACATATATATATGCCGTGTATACTACCACCGCAAGCTACTTCACACGCAAGTCGCCTTCCTTTGCCCACTACGCTGTGGGGCACGCAGTTGACATCGTCGATCGCGACGGTCGAATTGGCATGTGTGTGCTCATATGTTTTTCCCCAGCGCTAATCTCAGAGTCAGAGTATGTATTCGGAATGATCATTTTTTGTTATCTAAAAACTACTCGCCTGATCAACTACCCTCTTCAGATTGCCTAACCAGCACTGTTCGATGTTTTTTCTTCCCTCCATCCCTTCCTACTTTTCTTTTCTTATTGTGTGGATTTTTCAAGTTTGTGGATGATGTATGTGTGTATGTGAGCGCGCGCGAACGCTCACATACACACACATGTTTGCCTGCATTACGTATTTTTAGATCAATGCATCATTTTAGCACTTATTTATTTACAAATTCAGTCCTACAGCATCAATACTACCTGTGCATTACATCTTACTCGACTTCGTACTCATCTTTGCCGTAGGTCACCGACACGAGTCTGCGTCTCCATTAATAAAGGGATGAGACAACACTCGTAAACTGAAGTACTGGGGTGTTCAGGGAGCTCGATGAGTACCTTGGCGGTCGCACCATCCCACCGCACGAGTTGACCATATTCAGCTCTAGCCTGCACCGGAGGTACACAACCCTCTTCTGTGGCTCCACGAGGCCAGGCTGAGCGCGGTGGCCGCACCCGGGATGCTCGAAACCGTGTAGGGGCGTGCTTATTCAGGGCCGGCGGATTTGCGTGCGAATGCTGGTTTACTTATTCCGGGGAAGTAGTCGCTCAGTGGCGTGCACGAACGCTAATTCAATTTCCGCGCCTGACCTCATTGCCAATGGCATTGATGTGGTCGCTACAGCCGAATACGATGTGAGGGGGCAGCTCTCATTGTGACTCAGTTTGCACTTAGGTTATCGCCGCTCCCGGGGCGATAGCCGTAGTCGTGTTCATCCAGCCAGCTGACGCACAGTTCGACCTTAAAAACCTTCCTCTTACGGTGCTGTCAATCAACTACGTTACTTTTTTTATGTTTCCATGCCGTAAATCCAGAATTGCACGCGAGGCATCGATCGCTGGGTAGGCGATGCTGAATAATCCTACCTCGTCACGATTGTCGGAAATGTGAGCCCTGATGAGTTAATTAAAGGCGAACAATAACTTGTGGTGAAACCAAAGTGTTCCCTTTTCTCGACGTGGGCCATATGGCGTGTTACATGGCGTCTAATGTGTTGGAGAAGCACTTTTTGGTCGGATGGTGGCCGCAGGTCTCTGAAAAGTCGTTCACCAGCACTTGCCTCGTCGGCTGTGTTGCGCTCTTCCAGCATCTCGTAATATAAGATAGAGGGAGGGAGGAAATGTCGTTCCAAAAATATCCAACATAAACGTCCACAGTTCGCTGTGATGAGCGAGAGGGAGATGAGAAAGTAAACTGGTTTACGCAAAACAGATGGGCGTTTAGTTTCTGCATATCAGCAATTTTCGCTTACGGTATGTGTGCTAATTCATGAAATGTTGACCGAAATTCTGAAATGCGCTTGACTGGGGAAGATTACTTAAGTAGAGTTGCAATATCAGTTGCCATGCAGCCTAGTCCCAAGATATTTCAGTTACTTCGAGACTTCAGCTTTTGTGCAAACTTCTTTCGGGCCGCCTTCGAAAACTACGCTCTGTAAAAAATGGCTACTTAAGTAGCATGACTTTTCTAATTGATTTTTTTTCATCAAGTGTGTTTCACAGAAAACATGGACGAAAATATGCATTCTTTTACTCATTTGGAAGAAAATTCCGTCTTCTTCAAATTTCATGGTTGAAGGAGAGGTATAGTTCGGTTTTAAAAAGCTTCCGATTCCTGAATAATTTTGAACTCGACTTGTCTTTACACATGCACTCAAGGTCACCAAACTATAGGCTGTATATTATCCGTGTACGAAGAATCACAGAGTTCTATAAGCTATTAAGAGGAGATCATATGGGGTTCATAAAATAAGCAGTGGATTTGAGCCACCAAGCAACATTAATAGATGCAGACGCACAATGTTTCACGAACAGGCTTTTCAGTCTTACAAATCTCACAATTCGAAACTTTTTTTAAAACCGGTCCACGAACTTTGAAGAAGACGTAATTTTCTTCCAAATGAGTAAAAGGATGAGTATTTTCGTTCATGTTTTCTGTGAACCATATTTGAATGTATAAGGGCATCGAAAATCAATTAGAAAAATTCATGATACTTAAGTGGTCATTTTTACAGAACGTAGTTTTTGCAAGAAGTTTGTTCAAAAGCCGACTTCACGAAGTAACCGAAATATCTTGGGAATATGCTGCATGACAATTGGTATTAAAACTCCACTTGAGTAATCTTTTCGAGTCAAGCGCATTTCAGAATTTCGGTTAACATTTCATGAGTTAGCACACCTACCGTAAGATATCATGACGGAAATTCCAATACAGAACGTTGATGCGCCGATTTCCGGCAGAAGGTGTGCCGGATGCCACAGTCCGTTGGTCGGAAAGACTCCGCAACAATTAATTCTGGGTCGGAGGGTATGGGCAGCATCATCTGGAGTTTGGTCAGAAAACTGCTCGTTGTGAATTGTCGTACTCAGATATCAAGTAAAAAGGCAAGAAACACCGGCAGCAGAAGAGAGTGCATTCGAAGGGCGCAGCTTAGCGTTGTCAACAAAATATGATCATGAAAGGCGTCGGGAGGAGAAATGAAGGAGATAAGATCTTCGAAACCTAAAAGTATGAGAGGGTGTAAATTAGGACAGTTGAAGTCGCCACAAGACAATGAAGCGATTTTTTCTGAGAGAAAGTCAAAAAATCAGGCTGAAGCGTCTTCACAGGTAGAGGGGGGATATCAATAGTAATAGATACAGTGCGTGACCGATCTCATGAAATGTTGACCGAAATTCTGAAATTCGTTTTCGATTAGGAAGGATTACTTAGGTGGACTTGTAATATTGATCAGCATGCGGCATAATCCTATGGCATTTCGGACTCGCCAGAATGTTAGCTTTTGGATGCACTCCATCTTGTCCTCCTGCAGAAACCGTACTCGGTAAACGGATGACTACTTAAGTAGCATGCATTTTTCCTGTGGATTTTCGATAGTCATATAGATTCGAATATATTTTATAGAAATTGTGTACAAAAATAAGCTTTCTTTTACTCATGGGGTAGAAAATAACATTGCCTTTGCATTTTATGCACGAAGAAAGTGTATATTTAGGTTTAAAAAAGTTTCTAATTATGATATTTTTAAGACAATGCGATGTCCATGCATGCAAGACCGCATATGTCCGTTGAACACTGTTGCTCATGAAATTTACAGCACAGTTCGAATCCATTGCGAAATTTTATAAACTCTATGTGGTATCTTCTTAAGGAAATAGAGGAATATGTGATGTTCCTTACGCAGAAAGCATGCACCTTGTTGAGTGAAATCGTTGATCACTGATGCAATGGTAGCTCAGGTTCAAAATTATTCGGCGATTGGGAACCTTTTTTAAAACCTAAATATACACTTTCTTCGTGCATAAAATGCAAAGGCAATGTTATTTTCCACCACATGAACTCGAAAATCCGCAGGAAAAATGCATGCTACTTAAGTAGTCATCCGTTTACCGAGTGCGGTCTCCGCAGGAGGACAAGATGGAGTGCCTCCAACAGCTAACATCCTGGCGAGTCAGAAATGCCATAGGATTATGCCGTATGCTAATCAATATTACAACTCCACCTGAGTAATCCTTCCAAATCGAAAACGAATTTCAGAATTTCGGCCAACATTTCATGAGATCGGTCACGCACTGTATGATACATTTCGAATTATCCGACCATCGGAGCCTGTGTACAGCAGCATTAAGTCATCAAAGTGTAAAAATAAGGGCTTACAGTTTTCGCACCAGTTCTGAGCGAAAAAAATGGCCAGTCCCCCATCAGTGCAGGGTTAACTTACTCTAGACCACTTTGGACGTTTTGGATCCATTTGAATTCTAAGGAGGAAGATATTCGCATGCGTGACGCTGAAGGCACGTTGAATCTCTCCTGAATGCCATTAGCTTTGCACTGTTGCTATGCTTTGGGAAATTCTTATAAGGCCCTGTGTAAACTATGCCTAACAGCGCGTTTTTTTGCCTAACTGGCGCATGTCTCATTAAATAACGCCCACATTTGAATAATTATTCAAAGGCCGCAAGTCAAACTCGAGCATGATTCTTGGGTTGGAACAAAAATATAAATAAAGCATGCAGTCGGTCTAAGCAGACCAATTCTCCTACAGGTAGTTCGTATCCCAGGCCAACTGTGGGCTTCCTTTAGATGTTTTATTGTAGGAAAAGTTGTTTCTGCGAACTGCCTTGTCACTCGCAGCCTTGGTTATCGTTTGTTGATGCGCGAAAGGTGCACTTTCTTGTTTTATCTCAAGCATATTTGGACTCCTGAGCGTGATTTTTGCCGTGCGATGGGCGCACCATAAACAACACCAGAGTCAAAGGACTTGACCCTGCTTAGATACGCCAAGCACTCTTGTGCTCCATAAGTCGCTTGCATTGAGAAGAAGTAGACATGGTCGTAGCCGTTTTGGACTCATCAGAGACGTAAAAAGATGCAAGTCCGTAGACTTACCTGTCACGGCTCAAATGAATTTATTTGTAACTAC